AATAGCAGGAATGATAGACTTGTCCACTTGGTAATCCACGGGATTCTCAATTCCTACATCTGTTAAATTCTTCAAGCCGCCTATAAAGTTTGACAAGTAATTCATTGCAAATTTCTGGGGATGTGCAGGGTCCACACAAGAGATAAATGACGTTACCGAGAGGCCTCATGTATACGCCATCTTCTCTAAGCTTCTGAAGAAGTGGCCTTGCATACAATGATCCATACCTGTGTATAACTTTATTTAGAAGAAAATTTCGTGAAAGATCATATGCACGTTTGTGTCATTCCACCAACTACATATATGCTGCAAATTAATATACACTTAACAGATATCACTTGCAACCGTCCCTTAATTCAAAACATGCTAAAACTTTTGTATGACACAGTTATGCATAAATGCACAATGCTCATTAAGATTTCTAACAGGAATTCTAGAACATGAGGTGCACAAAATTATTTAAAAGGGGGAAGGAGAAAGTTGATAAAATGATACCCGGCATTATCGCCTTCGGCTTTTAATTCCAAGGCAAACAAAGTTCCCAATGCAACCACTCTTTGAACTGTGGGGTGTGATGAAATCCGGTGAACCAGTGTATCATCCCATAACTGCAAATGCACAATAACAGTTTGATCAATTGAACACTACTATATAGTGAACAATTAACATACTTTATTAAGGCAGCGAGCAGCCATACACTAATTTTGCCACGTCCCATAATTATTGGAACAAAATGTCACATGTCTATGGAAACTGAAACATATTATGTCATTTGTTTCACGGAAAACAACTTAGTGGCAATAAATGTACTATTTTTATCTTTGTTGTGACAATCAATAGAAAAACTGATCCATAGTCAATAAAATAATTTATGAATTCCTTGAATTTTATTTTAAGTTGAATGCAAAAACTATAAATTCATCTTATAATGGCAAGCAAAAGTGAAGTGAAGAGGCTAGAAAGACAACATTACACACTAGTCCAATTTATATTAGCACAAATACGGAAATATGTGATACATGGTAAGAACAAATAAACAACAAATCATTGTCTCATTACACGACAAGAAATACATTAGGAAAACGGTTGCTGTATTGTCATACATAGTCATATCATATACCATTGTAAAAGATTATAATAAAATATAGATTAAATATATATGCTCTTCTGGTTTTTTATTTATTAAATGGAGTAAGAAGCTAATATAATAAGTTCACAAGAAAAGAATACAGTAACCATACCTCCCTAAGTAATCTTCCATCAGAAGTGATGTTAGGGTTGGAGCAAGGGTCTTTAAACCATTGGATTGATTTAACAGCAGCAGCGCAGCCCATAGCATGTGCAGAGTAAGAATGTCCATGCAAAAGAGCCTTGAGCTAACCAAAGCAAGAGTACACGTCACTTTATCATGTCATCAAAACACTGTTCAGGAACTTTGTTTTGCATGAACATAATACTAGTAGGACCAAAAAAAGTGAGCTAACTGATAGGAACCTGGTATTTTATTAGAAACAATAATGAATTTCTCCCCTAAATACAGGGGCAAACTTGCGGAACAAAGATATTTGCACACCTCCTCATGCCCAAAGACTCCAATTCTCTCAAAACTGACAAGCTGATCTCTCTTCACCTTCCCCTCTTATTTGTAGGTAACATGCCTTATTTCTTCAGCAAATTAACCTAACTGACTGTTCGATGCGTATCTATCAATAGTGCATGCAAACAGTATGTGTGAACAGTATTCGTAAACAGTACGCAAACAGTGATTTTTATGCTTGCGCCCGACAAGGGAGAGGTGCACCTCCTGGTCCAACCATCAATCTCATAGGCAGCAGACAATAGCACCGATTTTGAGCAGCGGAAACAAAACTCACAAGATCAGGAGTTTTGATACCAAGTTGAATATATATATATATATATATAGAGAGAGAGAGAGAGAGAGAGAGAGAAAGAGGAGGGATCTATTTATTCCAAAAATAAGTATACTTAGACTTATTATACTCAATAACTCATGTTTTACATTAAATTTTAACGATCCAACTGTTAAATTAAAAATTCGTAATACATAAATCAAGTTTGCAAATTTTTTAAAAATCTGAAAACTATATGATACTCCATTTCATTAATTCAAATTGATAGATAATCATAAAAGTATGTTATACATTGATTTGAATTAACGGAATTGAGTATTAAATAGTTTTCAATTTTTTTTTAAATTTGCATACTTGATATACACATTAAGAACTTTTAATTCAACAATTAGATCGTTGAAATTTGATATAAAATGAGTTACTGAGTGGATTAAGTCTAAGTACACTTACTCTTGTAATAAGTGAGTCTCTCCTCATATATATATATATATATATATAGATATATATATATATAGTATATTT